TTTCTAGCCTTTTAGATTGTAGTGGGATGGAGATACTTAACTTTTTCATTGCATTTCTCCAGGAACTATGCTTCATCAAACCTGCAGTAAATTGTAGTGGGATGGAGGTACTTTAACTTCCAATCTTGCTGCTCTTGCTTCAGTATTTTTGCCCGCAAGAAAGAGGAAGTTGCTATACTGGTCATAATATAATTTATTTGCCAACAACACCAACATGATCGTTCTCAATGCCTTGAGGAACTCCGAAGGTTTGAATCGTTCCCTTTAATCTGCCATTTAAGCCCATGATTGACTTGTGCGAAGTGTTAAATCTTCAGTGACGAGACATTTTTCAAGCCTATTTCTATCGGTTAAGAGCTACAGTTTTCAGTTGCTAAATGTTTGTCGCATAATGGATATTTGCATGTAGTTTACTCTGCTGTGTTCGGGGAGACTATTTTGCATAATGGATAGTTGCTAGATGTTTGCGGCCGAAAGGTGAATCTCAAGTCTCTCTCTCCTTTATCGACTGTGATCTTGCAGGTTTCGTGTGTTTTTCAACAACCTTCTCTGTGTTTGGATTTTAGGTTTGTTATCAGGGATTCAGAACCGTGGTTGGGCGAAGAGGTGAGGAGAGGCAACTTTCATAGGAGGATTCCGCAAGAGAGGGGAAGTAGAGAAGGGTGAGATCCCTATATTTTGTTCGTTCTTCTTTTCTCTAAACTCTCCCCTCCAGGTTCGCTCTTATTTAATTCTACTCTCTTCTCGACTTTTCACTTTCCCTCTTTGGTTTTTTCCTTTTCTGGTTGAGAGAAAACTCGCATCAGTCTTGAGGGGGGAGGATTCTCGGAGTAATCAAAGTTGGTAAGCGTCTCTTCAGCTCTTTCCACTCTTTTTCTCAGCTCTTTCCACTCTGTTCGTTCTTCTATAAATTGGCTAATTTGGGAGGGCGAGAGAAATCGGAGGATACACAGAACCGCAAGGTGGGTTTCTTATGTTTTTTTTTCTAGACAAATTCGTTCTCCATCACTCTCAACCTATGCATTATTAGAAGATACCGGCACCGAGTTCATAAGCCCCGGAGGTGGTCATCAATTCCAGCGAAACGCTACCAATCTGAAGATCTGTGGTTTGGGTTATAAATCCATGTTGAAGAGGATCCATTGTGGAGAACGAGATTGGCGACGGAAGGAAACCAGATTTGCTTGTCCTGACATTTGAAGGTGATAAGTCGATATTGATGGTTTTGGTTCATCTCTCACATTTGTTATGATTAGATGCATATTCTTAATTATGTTCTCTGGTTTCTGTTGCCCAAACGGTTCCGCACGAAGAAGCCTCGGTTGTGAGGATCCCTCTCCGACGAAGCAAAATCCGAAGATGGTGTGTGGCCGATTCTCAAGCCAGAGCATGCTGATTCTCTTGCCCTTTGAGTTGATGGGCTTTTCTGAGAGCTGAGTTGATCGTGGAATCTCAGCGAAATGTTGCTGGACCAATAGATGAATGCTTTGCGAAACCTTCCTCCCGTCGTCGTGAACTCAGGTCTCTCTCTCCCCCACCCTCCTTCTCCTTCCCCTGCCATTTTTTTCCTTTTTCCCTACGGTTACTGAATGGCAATTCCTTGGCTTTTTCCTCCCATCCCCCAATCATATATGAGTTGGGTTTCAGGTTTTGATTGATTGTCGGGTTTGAGAGATTGACGGTCGGGTTGGGGAAGAAGCAGGTTCGATGTTTTGGATTTTCATTTTTAGGTTATTGTTTTCCCGATTTTCCTTGAATGTGATCATGCCCTCTTTTCCTATTTCAGAAGAGCACGTCTGGTCTTGGAGATTTTATAATCGAATTCGCTGATGGGGATTTGGGGAGGTAAGACACTGTCCGCAACATCGTCGTAATCCTATCCTCTTGAGACAGTGCCTAGGCATAGGCGAAGGTAATTTTATATGTCTTTTCCTTATCTTTTTTTCCCCTTCTCCCCCTGGTAATCTGTCCTGTTTTATCTTTCTGATTCATCGCTTTTGTTTGCTATTTCGGATAGCGAATCGGTGTTTTAGAGTTGACAATCGATCTGAACTTTAGAGTCGTCAGAGCGGGCAAGCGAACCAGAAACATCATTTGAAGTTTTTCCCTCCGTTTCACTTTGATCTAATTAGTTTTGTTGTTGTCAAAGATTCATTCGGTGGAGGAACTTCTATTTTAGGACTCTATTTCTCAACCTTCCAGATTTACTGTGAGAAGTTTTTTTATTTTGGGTTCTATATCTGCATTGACGTCCATGATCGACCCATTTAAGCTTTCTTTTTCCCTTTCGTTTGATTTCCGAGTGTGGAGAACTCGGTAGAGGTCCTTCACAGATGGCAGGTTGATTAATAATAGTGTGGAAACATAATTAGGGGACTTCCCCTATTCTAACTGTCCTTTGAGTCTAACTCCATAAAAAATGTATGTCAGTTCCCTCACGTGTGACCTCTTCATGGGATTTCAAGGTCTGTGTTCTTTTTCTTATTGAGTATTGAAATCAAAATGGTAGTTTTGGTTATCTATTAAATGTATGTGGTGCATAGATGTGCAGGTAATGCTTGCCTTTGGATTAACCAAAAACTGGAGTACCTGTACTATAACTTCTGGAGAGGACAGTTGATTGGGAGCAGCAACTCAAGAAAGCATATATGTGCTTTTGAAGTAGGTCCAGGTTAGCCACTGTTCTCTGTGAATTTTGCAGTTTTTGCTATGACAGAAGTAATCTTTATTTTGCTCTACCTTAGATCCTACTATTTTCATGAATCTGAGTATTTTTACGGTTTATGAATGTTGATGTGCAATAATATGTTGCTTGCTTTCTAAGTGTTCTTGAGAAGGTAGGACTGAACAAAATTGAACCATCACACATAATGTCGTGATCTCCATTTTGTGTGCAGTTGCCTTTACATTGCAGATTTGTCCCCTTTGTTGGTAATTATGTCCCTTTAGGGGTTGTTCCCCCCTTATATGACTACACTAACTAGACTACTCTACTTGACAGCAGTATCACTTATTCTTCTTCATTTAACATCACATTCCTCATATCTCAATGAAGTGGAGACTATTGGAGCTACCTACTGAATGTAAGTACTGATACAAGTGTTGCCAGTAATGCAGTATCTACATGTTAAATTAGCATTCGGTTTTGGTTGTGTTGCCCTTTTCTTTGTGTGGTTTCTTTTTGCCACTAAGACCAATAATGAAAAAAGTAATTGGCAAAAGGCATTTCAAGATATGACAAGGAATGAACATGGTGTATCAGCAATCAGCATGCTGCCATTTTGTTGTGTGTTGAATTTGTAACCTTAGAGAGATGGTGATAAAAATCAGCTTATCAGGATGCCATGGCTAGACTTGGCACTATTCTCATTAACTCTAAGTTTACACGTTCATAATAATTGCTATTTCCCATTAAAAATCTTTTATATGTTCTTTCTTTGTTTTATTTGCTCGACCCATACAGTGCACTGCCATTTTCATTCTGTTTGAGGTTCGGTGAGGTTGATTATGCTTTCTTAAGCTGCTCAGTGAACACTGATGAACTCCAGGTTTACATCTATTCGTGGCTCTTTATATCTAAAACTCTTTGCTTGCTTACAATGTCAGGTCAGAGCTTTATTACAAATCAGATTGCTTGCTTTTATGCCTGGGTTAGCAGGTATGCATTTGAGGACTTATAGGCTGAACTGTAAGCATCTTATTCTGCAACATTTAAATTGGTTAGATTTCTAGGCTGAAATGGACTCAATTTCTTAGCATCCTGTAATTGAATAGAAATAGAAGTTTTATTGGTATTATGGAATCACAGAGGAGGATTAAAATAAAGTTCATTAAACTAAAGCAGCCGTCTTTCATGTCAATTTCTCCTCAATCCACAGTTTCTTTCAATCGATGAACATATGTTGCCATGGGATGAAGAAACCGAACTTCCTGTGTCGTGTAGTTCATAAATTCTTCTTTAACCTTTAATCAATTCCTTTTTGATTAGTAAGATGTTGCCTTATATATAAACACAGGTTCATGATAGTTACTCCAACTGATTCTGTAAGTTGAATTGCTATAGTGTTTCAATAGGTTGTTTTTGCGCCCAGCTGTTGGCTCCATGGTGTAAGGAATATGAATTGTGTGTTTGTATTGACGTGACCGAGCTGTTGTCGGACATGTTGGACAGCAGGCGACTCGACGCTGATCGTGGGCGCTGAAATTCTAGATTGCAACGAAGAGCTAGGGTTTCGGGATTAAAGCTGTAAGAATGTGAATCGTGTGTTTGTATTGACATTGAGAAGGGGCATTTATACCCACAATTGTACAGATTCATGTAGGAGAAGGAAACTTACGTCAATATGAATAAAGATTTATCCCTAATACATGGAACTTACCCTCTACTATCCATTTATGTCTATGGATGCCATACATATGATTTTTGATAGGTTCATTTGACTGCTTTTTTGGGATGGATTGCTAACTAAATTCTGTAATTGCTTTCTAGGTAGTTTAATTATCATCAGCTGAAGTTCAATCTATGCCTGATCCCCGCTCATCCATTTTCACTTCCTTTTTAGAATTCTTGGCTTCTATATATTGTTGTATCCAGTGTTGTTCGAGCCGTGTAAAAGGTGATTGTCAAGGGAGTTGTTGACGATAGCTATCTTAATTGAATATCAATATATTATGTCAATTAGGATGTTTTCCGCATCATTCTAACTCATAAATCCCGAGATACTGTCCACTAGCCGAAATTGTAGTCGGCCAAATAATAAGGTGTTTACTTCAGGTGCTGCAATTCAGTCCAAACAATGGGTTACGATTTGGTTGGGTAAGAGCCTCTAATGTTTCTTTTATCATCTTCAATCCATTTTGCAGCCTGTTCTTTTTTTTCTTTTCTTCCTATCATTGTTTCACATTGTTCGTTCATCGCGAAGCAACGCGAGCGGGTCTACCTAGTATCATGTAGAAAGGAGAACCCACTAAGCTCTGTGGTTCAAGTTCAAGCCACTGTTTTAAGACTGCTCTTCTGCAACTCAGCAGAGAGCTCTTGTGGACCTTGATCTAATCAAAGTGTTAAAACTTTTGACGTTCGATAATTACATAGGCATCTTTCACATGCTACACGACAAAGAAAAAACAAATCATGAAGTCGCTATCTCGTTTCATTTTAATAAGAGAAAGAAGACACCTTTAAGCTCCTTTTCATCCTTATCAGTTATCACTCACCATTTCCCCTGTCTACGCACTGCAACTCGTAATCCCATCTCCAAGCGCATCCCTAAGCTAAGCTCCATGATCACAGTCACAGCAGCCATCTACGCAATATTCCTCACCTTATCCACGTCATTCCCAATCGTCTTCTCCACTCACACTCCAAAATCCTACTACCACTCTCTCTTCCTGTCCACCTCCCTCGCCGACAATGCCTCCGTGGCACACAACCTCTACATGCTCACCCGCCGGCCGCACGTCGCCGGCACGGAAGCCAACGCCGAGACCGCCGACTACGTACTCACCACCCTCACTTCCCACAACATCAACTCCCACATAGTCTCCTATGACGTGGCGCTGACCTACCCTGACTCACGTTCCCTGACGCTGACTCCCAAACCAGGCCATCCACCGGTAGCGTTCGATCTCCGTCAGGAGATCTACGCCGGCGATCCCTACGCCGACGTGGCGAGCCAGGTCATGCCCACGTTCCACGGGTTCGCCAAGTCAGGGGACGTCACGGCGCCCGTGACGTATGCGAACTACGGAGGAGTGGAGGACTTTACGACGTTGAAGGAGATGGGAGTCAACGTGAGTGGGACGATTGTGCTGGCGAGGTACGGGAAGGTTTTCAGAGGGGACATCGTGCATAATGCGTACACGGCAGGGGCGGTGGGGACGATTATATACTCGGATAGGAAGGACTACGGCGGCGGAGGGAAGGACGCCGGGTGGTTTCCGGAGGCGAAGTGGCTGCCGCCGACGGGAGCTCAGATGGGTAATGTTTATACGGAGGCCGGTGATCCTACGACTCCTGGGTGGCCGAGTAATGAAGGGTGTGAGAGGAGGGATTATGAGGAAGTGGAGAGGTTGGGGATTGTGCCGTCGATACCGTCGCTGCCGGTGTCGGGAGCGGACGGCGAGACGATCATGAAGTCGATTGGTGGGAAGGTTGCCGATGAGGATTGGCAAGGGAGTGATGATGCTCCGACTTACAGGGTCGGACCAGGGCCAGGTGTTCTAAATCTCAACTACAAGGTACGTAAGTTATAAATCTTATGGGATCATTCGAACAGAGGTAAAATTGCAACGCTGAGAGGTTCTACTAATGGTGGGATTCCAGGCAAAAAAGACTATAGCAACTATTCATAACGTGATCGGGATGATTGAAGGATCAGAAGAGCCTGATAGGTAATGTAGAAGAACATTTTGCATGAATTTGCTACGAAATCGCATATCAAGTTTCGTCGGGTTAATTTGAGTAGAGAAAAGGAAAAAATATTGAGAACTGAAATCAAGTTACCTGCTTCTTGTACGGCAAACTGGCTAGATATGTGATCCTGGGTAATCATCGGGATGCATGGACATTTGGAGCAGTTGATCCCAACAGTGGAACTGCAACACTTCTTGAGGTAATCATGGTCAGAGTAGATTGGCTGATCAAGTGGAGCTTTGGAGATAACTGTATAATGTATCTGCAACAAAAACGTAGGTTGTTCAAAGACTGGAAAAACTGCAGAAGAAAGGCTGGAAACCTAGAAGAACAATCATCTTTTGCAGTTGGGACGCCGAGGAGTATGGCTTGGTCTCTCTCTCTCTCTCTCTGCTTCACATACAATATATGCCTCTTTGCACGGATTTGGAGTCTGCAAAATAAAGCATAATGAAACAAATGAATTGCAAGTGCAGATAGGATCGACTGAGTGGGTTGAAGACAACCGAGAACTGCTGGCTTCGAGAGCTGTTGCGTACTTGAACGTGGATATTGCAGTGAGTGGTGACGAATACTCTGCTTCTGCAACTCCTCAGCTTGATGAATTACTCAAACAGGCCGCTAAACAGGTACCTGATTATGGCAACCAAGAAATAACAAGTTTCAAGACAAGAAATCTAGACGTGTTTTTCAATGTTATATAGACGAACAAAACGACGTGTCTATCAGAAAGCTTTCAGAATGCATAGCAAATTCTGTTCTTCCATCTAATTTACCAAATTTGTTCTGATGTCTAAAGGTTCAAGACCCAGATAACTCATCACAGACTGTCTATGACTCTTGGGCTTCTGCCTCCAGCAGTTCCCCAAGTGTAAAGGTAATTTCACACCTTGTTCCAATTCTTCTTAAAGGAATCTGAAAACCACCATATAAGTGTAGATAGCTCCAAGAAGGGGATTTTGAAGGGTTGAAGGGCCTCCATGCCAAAACTACAGCACTAACATGTCTTGCAACTGTACAGATTGAAAGATTAGGGGGTGGAGGATCAGATTTTGCAGCATTTGTACAGCATATTGGTGTAGCATCCCTTGAAGTAACTTACGGAGGAGGTAACAATCTGCATTTCTGTTTTTTGCTCTTGCCACAAAGATGAACTTTTCTTAGCAAAGAAACAAACAACGCTATGTGAACATATAATACTTCTAGTCTGCAGTGACATGCAGCCTAAACTCATCTCTAACCAAGAAGTACCATAAATCACTTGCATAGTTCAAAGCAGTCATCAATCCCTAAAATAAACTTAGCTGTGTATGATTCCTTGACCTGGACATCAATTGCATTTTTCTTCTGCCCTGCTGACAATAGATTTATCCATGCAGCTTACCCTGTATACCACTCAATGTATGATGACTTTGTCTGGATGGAGAAGTTTGGTGACCCAATGTTCCGCAGACACATTGCAGGTGTGTAGAATGGAGAATTTCAACTATCTTTTCAGATGGTAAAACTGTTATGCTCAACAGAATCATTCTAGTAGATGAGGGGATACAAACAGTCCATACTGAAGCCTTACTTGGACTAAGAAACTGATACAAAAATTCTTCTACTGAATCCGAAAGAGAAGAGTGGCCATAATATTGTGTCAAATGCAAAGCTAAACTACATGTTGAATCATGCATCTCAGCCTCAAGTTTATTATTTTTTTTTTTTACCTACAGTTGCAAGCATTTGGGGATATCTAGCTCTCCAGTTAGCAGACAAGGAAATTTTGCCTTTTAACTATCAGTCCTATGCTGAAGAGCTTCAGGTACGGCTATTTGTGCAGAACCAGGGTACATCCCTGGTAACTAACTGGCTATCATGAGAAATTTTGGTATTTATGTGTTTAATCCATGTATAACAGAGAAATGCGGAGGAGTTGGAAGATCAGATATCAAATCAGATAACAGTTACTCCCTTGCTTACTTCTATTGATGCACTATCAAAAGCAGCAGCCAAGATAAACAATGAGATAAAGGTATGAACAAGGCAATTTACTTACACGGTATGCAACAGAAGATTGATAATAGCAAGCAATTAAGTAACACGGTATGCTGGCATCTATAGGGGATTGAAGAAACCATAGGATGGGCATCAATTGTGAAGGCCGACGTCACAAGAGTGAGGGAGATCAATGACAGACTAATGATGGCTGAGCGTGCATTTCTTGACCGAGAGGGGCTTTCTGGAAGACCATGGTATAAGCATATGGTATGCTTCTAACTTTGTTACAAATTCCTGACTGATGTTATTCCGTCAAAACTTTTGGAGACCATTTCCAAGTTCCAACTACACCATCCACATAGCTTAAAGTAAAAAGCTCAGAGCCCCATTGGCCTGTCTACTAAAAATTGGAAGTTCTATCAGTCCAAGTCAATGATATGGACCAATTTTTTCTATGGAACAGATATATGCACCTGCCAAGCATAATGTGTATGGAACAAAGTACTTCCCAGGAATTGATGATGCAATAGAGCAGGCAAAGCGTCTGAATACTGAAGAATCATGGAAGGTGGTGCAACATGAAGTTTGGAGAGTCTCCAGAGCCATTAATCAAGTCACTAAGGTCCTTAGTGGTGAATTGACATGAAATGTACAGTAAAAGGCGGGACTTACAGGTGCTGACAGGAACCAGCCGCCACTGAATGACTCCAAATCAGTACCTTTCAACTCCACTTCAATACAAGTACTTTGGAACCCCTTGCAAGAATGGTGCAACAAATAAATTTCAGAAAGTTGAGTACAATCAGAATCAGCTTCAAATCCTTCGTTGTACGCATTCACCCTACTATGTGAATATCAAAATAACCACACAAAAAAAAAAAAAAAAATTCCCATCCGAGGAACAAGGGCTGATGAAAACATGGAAAACATGGACTGCCAGTTGATTTGGGTTCTTGTTTTGGTTTATTGGGGTAAAATTAAAATTGGAAGAAAAAAAAAACACTTCTCGACAATATAATAAGAATAAGAAGAGAAAGATGTATATATTTCTACAACACAGTTTACGACTCGAATATTGCTAGATGCAGACAAACGTAGGTCTTCACACGTTTGGGCGTTTGGCCCTTGTGAGCTTGAATGGAATTTTACAACAAATGCGAAGGCACAAATTTTCCCACCAGTAGATAAGAGGAGGGTAACGCATAAGGGAACTGCATAGAATACCTGAAGCTTGTTTGAGAAATAAACCATGGAGCTCCATGATAAACATTATAAGCATTTTAGTTCTTGCATAAAGTCAGACACTTGTTACCCCCAGCCGCCATTATTGAAGCAGCCAACTATTTACAGCAACTTCTGGTAATTGAGAAGTTGCATTACAGAACCAAAATCCATCTCCGATCACATTCCTGAGCTGCATTTTTTGCCTTACCCACTTCTTTCTCCAAAGTCCTACTACCTCTCTCTCTTCCTATCAAATGCCCTCGCCGAAAATGCCTCCGTAGCATACAACCTCTAAATGCTTACCCGCTGTTCTCACATTGCTGGCACAAAAGCCAACACCGAGACAGTAGAGTATGTTAAGTCTATACTAATCTCAAACAAGATAAGTCACACACAGTCTCCAATGATGTGGCCTTGACATACCCTGCCTCACGTTCCATGATACTAACCCCTGAAACAGGTCATCCACCGATCAAATTCAACGTTCGCCAGGAGATCTACGAAGGTGCTGCAAACGGGATTATGCAGACATTTCATGGGTATAGCAAGTCAGGGACAGTGGAGGCACCTGTGACTTACGCAAACTATGGGCACTTGGAGGACTTTGCAACATTGAAAGAAATGGGGATCAAAGTTTCAGGGACGATCATCTTGGCAAGATATGGGAAGATTTTCAGAGGGGACATTGTGGATAATGCATATGCAGCAGGTGCTATAGGAACTATCATCTATACAGATAGGAAAGACTATGGAGGTGGAGGAAAGAATACAAGGTGGTTTCCAGATGTAAAATGGATGCCACCAACAGGAGTTCAGGTTGGTTCTGTTTACAGAGAGGCTGGCGACCCTACAACACCTGGATGGCCGAGTACTGAAGGTTGTGAGGATAGCTTATGAGGAAGAGGAGAAGACAAGAGTCCTTCCATCCAAACTATCGCTTCCAATATCAGGAGCATATGGTGAAACAATCATAAAGTCGATTGGTGGAAAGGTGGCTAGGAAGCAAAGATGCTCCAACCTACAGGGTTGGACCAGGGCCAGGAGTTGTAAATCAGCTACAATGTAGGTCATATAATCCTCAGTTAATTGGATTTAAGCTCTCTATAGATGCTTTTACTAAAACAGTAATTAAAGTATGACTTCATTCACCACTGACTACGGCCACTGTATGGGATTTCAGGCGACAAAAAACTATAGCAAAGATACATACTGTTATAGGGATAATTGAAGGCTTGGAAGAGCCTGATCAGTGAGAAAACTTTAGAATCGTGCAATTATTCGCACATATAAATTTCATTGTGCTGATGATATAAAATAACAAACAAGGATCAGACATATAAAACTCATTTGCTTGCATATTTAAAGCATCAAACCCCTCTTTTCTAGATTTAAAAATCAAAGATTATCCATGAAGGCGCAAACATAAATTTATAGTATTTTAATAGATCCAATCAGTGAATGGACATAAAGAGTTGGATATTTAGGACTTATCTGCTTCGAAAATCTAGATTTGTCCTCCTGGGCAATCATCGGGATGCATGGATATTTGGAGCAGCGGCTCCCAATAGTGGAACTGCAGCATTGCTTGAGGTAGTCCTGGTCCCAATAGATTGTCATATCAAAGTACTTTGCAGGAACAATATTCGGAAAATGTTGGACATGAGTGAAATCTCCACATTAAATACAGGTTGCTCAAAGGCTGGCAAAGTTGCCCATAGTCCAACTGTTGTGCAGATAGGATCAACTGAATGGGTGGAAGACAACAGGGAAGTGTTAAAATCAAAAGCTGTTGCCTACTTAAATGTGGATATCGCAGTATGTATGAAGGGTATCCTGATTCAGCAACTCCTCAACTTGATGAACTACTCAAATGGACAACTAAACAGGTACCAGAATTTGTATCTAATAGTCTATGAAAGAAACAGAAGAATTCTTGTGATATAATTTGTTAAGACTGAAAGAAATGGGAAGGGATTTCGTGACTGTTACGGAAGGCTTTGGAGAGGAAAAAAAAATCAAGAAGACTTTTCATCTTACCGAGCCTACCACCTTTGGACACTCAAATAAATCAAACTCACAAATGATGCTTAAAGACCCAAAGAACACGTCACAGACTGTCTACGATTCATGGGCAAGCTCCAGCGGCTCTACTCAGGTTAGGGAAATTCAAATCATTGTTTAGAGTTGTGTTGAACTCTCAAAACAACCTACACAGAAGAAGGCAGTTTCCACAACTGTCAGCATATATATTTCGAGAGAGATATAGAGTGCACTAACCTGGCTTTTAAATGGTGCAGAGTGGAAGGTTAGGGGATGGGGGTTCAGACTATACAGCATTTGTACAACATACTGGCGTGCATCAGTTGACATGTCTTATACTGTAGTGAGAGATATAGAGAGTAAATATAGAGTTTACTAAACCTGGCTTTCAAATGGTGCAGATTGGAAGGTTAGGGGTCGGGGGTTCAGACTATACAGCCTTTGTACAACATATTGGTGTGCCATCAGTTGACGTGTCTTATACTGTAGGAGGTAACGAACATACTGCATTTTCTGCTCCATATCACCACATACCTAGATAGAAAGAAAAAAAGAACAATGTGATGTTCACATATTAACTATGTCTATAAATATTAAGTAACATGCCGCCCTTCCTTGAACAATTTGTACAGACTACAGAGTCAATGATGCAATCACCTGACCGGCTGACCGTATGCAAAGATGGCATTTTACTGGCAGCTTAAAATTAACTTCTACAATATCCTTTATTCACTTGTACACCTTAAATTCACTACAAAAACTTCCACCCTCTGTGATCTCACAACCTTCATCAAAATAACTTGAAAACTCGAGAAGTTTTCAGCTGTTTGACATTAATCAGCAATATATTTACTAGTGTGTTCTGACTGCAATATCTACAGATTACCCTGTGTACCACTCAATGTATGATGACTTTACCTGGATGGAGGAGTTTGGTAATCCTATGTTTCACAGACATGTTGCAGGTATGAAACTTGAGCAACTAGACTTTCAAAAACAAAACTTCATGGAATTATTCTCTAGAGGAAAATGACAAGTTGAATTCATCCTAAAAGTTGCCCCACAAAAACAAACAATAACAATAGTCTCATTTAGTATGCAACATCATTCTGAATCCTGTATCTCAACCTGAAACTTCAATTTTCACTTAGCAGTTGCGAGCATTTGGGGCTTTCTAGCTCTTCAGTTTGCAGACAATGAAATTTGGCCTTTCAACTATCTTTCCTATGCCGAAAAGCTTTGGGTATAGCTATCATGAACTTGTACCCACCCATTACAGAACTTGAGCAATTGTCTATCAATGAAAAATTAAGGTACATTGATTTATAAATGATTTACATGTATTGCATTTATGTGCAACAGAAAAGCACAAATAAGTTGGAAGATGAGATATCAAATACAACACTTGCTCCCTTGCTCAAGTCTGTTGATGCACTAACAAAAGCAGCCACAAACATAAACAATGAGAAAACATAAGATAATTCTTTCATCCAAAAAAATGTATATGATAAAAGTTCCCACAAGTAAAGATTGACAATAATAATGCTGAAGAAGGATCAACTCACACAGTAATCTTGCCATCTATAGGCAATTGAAGAAGACATATGGCGGACTTCACCACCGAAGACAGACTTTGCAAGAGTGAGAGCAATAAATGACAGACTAATGATGGCTGAGCGAGCATTTACTAATACAGAGGGGCTATCTGGAAGGCCATGGTAGAAGCATTTGGTATGTGTTTCTGTTTCACCGCCAAGTGCATATCCAAATTTATATCAATCCTTTTTAAGAATCATTTCTACCACATAATAATGCTGGGACAGTCCAGCCTAGAGGTAAAGGTAGATAGAAACATGAATCAATCCTAGTGTCAAACTTTGGAACCAACATTGAATCCTAGTTTCAAACCTTGGCATTCATAAATAAAATGCAATACTAACAGGAACTCTCTCCTGACATGTCAAGCTGACATGCATATCTGTATTTCACAGATATATGCACCTTCCAAGCATAATGATTATGGATCAATGTCGTACCCTTGGATAGATGATGGAATAGAAAATGCAATGACTCAAGATACAGCAGAATCATGGCAGTCAGTGCAGCATGAAGCCTGAAGAGTTTCGAGAGTTATTAAACAAGTCGCACAGGTCCTCAGTAGTGCATTGACATGAATTGCATGGAAGAAATTCAATGAGAATATGAGACTGCCTGATGCTACAGACAGGGCATTTGTGCCGAGTCTCATCAAATCAAACAGTTGCAATTTTACCTTAATACAAGTACTTTGTACCCTAGCAAACTGTTGTGGTTACTAATTATATTCCATCTACAAGATTCTGGGAAGTTTCTGCCTCTGTATGCACAATATCTTTCAAGTTCTTTAAAAGACGAAAGGCCACAGATTAACCACTGTACTGACAGCTCCCCATATCTCGCAAGTCATTACCGTCTCACAACAATTCTAATCTAACTCAATGACCAGTATGTCCAGCTCCCATTAAACTTAAACCACTTCATGCTGATCCCAATCTAATGCACCCTCAACAATTCAATTTCACATCTGCAATCATAGATAAATCCTGTAGTCTGTTGTTTACATAATCAACAACCTTGGGTCTTATGTGCTAAGAGCGAAGACTAGTAACAATCATCAAATTACCAAACTGTAGATCCTTAGCAACTGAATGAAAGCACCAACGGTGAAGCCCAACAGGCAACCGGTAACCATTCACAGTTCACTGGTCTGGTTTCACAAAGAAAACAAACTTTGACTACTATTACAAAAGTAAATACAGGATTTTATGCCAATCACAAATACCGCAACCCAAGAAATCAAACAAGCAGAAGAGAAAATATAGCATGCCATTGAACCACTGGAATAATGCATACCTCGAATGAAGATCTTTCCAATAATATCTCCTCTGGTGCCAAAATTTCCAACTTATGCTACCACAGGGCCGAAAGGTGATCTACATTAACCCATCCCACCAAGCAGTTTCCATTTCCCCAACATCGCATAATAAAAAATATGGAAAAGAGAGATAATACCTGGTAGCGCCCTATTCCCATTATTAAAAAGGTGGGTTTTCAAGATAATTCAGGAGAAAAGAGTGAATTATCCTTTTTATTAAAGTTGACAATGGCCACAAACCTACCCCAGAATGCATATAAATAACAGGTTAAGTTATTATACTTATACTAGTTTCCCATTCTGTACAAATAAAGAAGGCATATCATTTCAAAATATTACCAGAACTTAGAGACAAATTCTTATCAGAATAAGGCAATTCATAGGATACTACTTTATGTACATTTCGAACTATCACCAACTCTATATGTACAACAAGTCACTTGCAAGCCTGATTTATTTACTTCCAAACCTTGATAGCTCCATCTCTACCACTTGAAATCAGGAGTCTTTGGTTCAACTTTACAGAGGCCAAAGCCAAGACAGAATCCCTGTGGCAACCGGCAGAGTCTGTAGCAGCTGCTGCTAAAACTGCCTTTGTAGTCAACTTTACTGTTGAGGGTCTTCTAATCTCCTGTTGAAAAGAAAAAGAGGATAATGTTTAACTATGAGACTACGGCCACCAAAAAAATTAATAATGTTCAACTCAATTAATAATCAAGCACTTAAGTAACAGTTAAGTAGGAACTATAGCTCTACCCAGTTTTGAAGACTTGAAGGGAAGACAAATGCATGCATAATAGATAGATAGATAACCAAGTACTGTGAATAAATATCTCCAAGACATCTATAACTGATAGTAGATGAGCCATAAAAAAAGAAAGCGGATGAGACGATGAGGATGCTAAATTTGAGCAGGTTTTAGCAAGAAAGCCAATTTGGTTCAAAACATGGAACAATTGCATATACTCTAGACATTGGTACTACCTTCAGTGTAACTACATCACCTATGACCTATATGGAACTCCAGCATCAAAACTTCCCTCGGCGTAAAGGGGGTTTACTAAATCCAACTAAGCATATCTATCTATCTATATCTATAAAATATATTAAAGCATTTTAAGATTTCCATCCCATCCACGTAAGCCTTCCTCAACGCATAACTATCCACGTCAGCACCTTAAAAAGCTTCTTCTTTCTCTTATGCGAGAAAACCAACGCCCTCCTCCCTTTGACTCAACTCCAGCCGTTTCCTTCTCCCCAAATCACAACGTTTCATCCCTCCTTTTTCCTTTCAACGGCCCTTGCTCTGCCCCGTCGTTCTATCTTCTAAATTTCTCTTCGAAACCCCAAGAACTACGACCGCATTTAAACCTTCAATTTCACCAAGAATTGTCTTGGCAAAGACGCTCAGATTGTTCGACTGCACATCAGCGGCATGCAGAACGGTCGGATGGCGGTAATGAACCAACAAGGAGCAGCCAGTAGAGTATGCTTCGGCAGGGGCATATGAGGAAGAAATCGTGATTCAGAGAAATAGAATCAGGCGATGGAGAAGATACCCTCGCCGAAAAGGGTTTCCGGGAAGCCCGGCAAGCCGGTTCCTGGTGGAAATACTCACCAAAATTAGAAGGGTGTGTGTACAAAACAGAGGATGTAGCGACGTTGAAGGGCTTGGGTGGATTCATCTACTACATTGACATAAGATTCAAAGACACGCTCTGTGACTTGGGCTACAACAGCGACAACCTGCCGGTGGTGGTCGTCGCCAGCACTCAAATTATGAACGGTTGTTTCTTGAACTTCACGACGGGGGATTTTGGTACAACCCGGTCTGGACACTCTCATCCAATATTACATCAACCCAACCAATCAAGATATGCCTACTTATTTTTCCCTTTCCCTGTGTTCTATTGAATCTCCTTTTGTTGGTTGGAAATTTGGGATCAATAGGGAGCTTCTTCTCACTTCCAGTGCCAATTATATTGATGTTTATGTCTTCAACTTCAATGCTCTTTATATCGATCCGTTGTATTGTTGTTGTACTCTTCCAACAGAATGCCTACTTAGTTTTTCTTTCTGCAGAATAGTTCTTCGACTCAAATATGTTATTTTGGAAAGATTAATGTTGCTGCTGTCATCATTGCACTTCCAAAATAAGGTTATTGGTTCATTTTTTTGAGTTTGTCCTTTTACTTCTTTGCTCTGTTTTGCTGTGATAGAACATTCAAGTAGATAGATACTGAATTCAATTCACAAGATGTAGCAATGTTTTCCTTGCAGATTGTTTGTCAACTCTTATGCAACAAATTCTAAAATTACTTAATAATGTACATCATGCTTAATGGGTTCCAACTATTAATTACGATTACTTACGCTTTCCCTCTGCTCATGATCCATAGTCCACCAAAGTTGGATCTTCATACATATATAGTGATTTAGCATTTCACTAAGCCCTTATAATTAAATCAATAAAGCCAGCGTATGCCACTAAATCAAACAAGTATTTCCTTTTATTTAAATAGAGGAACCAATGTACAGCTTAATTTTTCAGATTTGACTATTTGTTTGAATGCATACTCATCCATTCTATAAAAAAATTGCATACTCATCTATTCTTTTAAAAAAATCGCATACTCATCTGCACCCTCAAATGGACAGAAAAGGATGTGTCTCACTACCCCCACAAACAAAATACCAATTTTTTTTTTTTTTTTTGCAGTTTCTTGACCTCATAGTAAGTTCTAGATTATATTTGTGTTTGAACATGATGTATCTGTCATAGCCATCTTAAGTCGTCTGGGTTGTCTTTGTTTTCTTATATATATTATGATTTGTTGTGACACTACAAACACCTCCGTTCTTACGTGACTTGGATAAATTTATTTTGCTACAAAATAAATCTCTAATTTCATTCTCAAACCAGAGTAAAAAAGAGATGTCAAGCCACACCATCCCCTGCACTCAAGGTTGTCAAGAGATAATTAGGACTGGCAATGCTCGCTCCAGACCCCAACAAAAAGCTACTAGCCACCACATCATTTCAAATTCAAGAAACAACATAATCAAACAAGAAGCTCAAAAGTACTTCGGCCTTCTTTGATTCCAAATGATCAAATCGTTGCATCCTTCAATTGTGAACTATGTTAACAGAACTTCAAATTTTTCATCATACTATGTTTTTGAACTACTATTGCCCCAAATTATTATATTAAGGATACTGATATATTATGTTAGTGTATTGTTAATATAAGTTAATCTGCATTAAAACTTTTTCCCTCCAGAGTAGGTATCATAATTCCAAAATAGATACGCAGAGAATGAGACACAAATGATAGGATAATTAACTACATATCAAGTTGGACAAAGAAATAAAAACGAGCGGAAAAAGGATGACACAACGGACCAAAGGCAAAAATAAACCCGGCCAAAGGCCGGGCAAAAGCTAGTGATACAAGAAAGGATTATAGCCTAACCAAAGAGCTTGAAAATAGATAACAAACCTGCACAACTTGCACCCCGGAATATGACCTCGCCTCAAAGAAATTCTCATTTCCAGTTCCTTTTAAATTTGGTCCAGATATGCAGTAACTTTTCTCTGGGCTGCAAGTGGTGAACCAAATTTGAGTAAAAATTACTGCAGGTAGAGTACGAGAGAGAATGAACGAAAATGGGAACAAAAAAGCTAGATATAATTCAATCAAGACCTGCAATGATCCCATCGACGTATCCTCAAATCAGTACTCCCAGTCAACAAATCACCCCCAGGTAAAGGAAGCATCGCCCGGATACCCGGAAGGCGAGTAGGAGGTTCATTCAGCTCATCAACTCGGTATTTTGGATTGACATTACGCCTATCTGATCTAGAAATTGCCTTATTGGAAGGCCTGGTTAATGCTGACGGTACATCAGAACTTTCAGGATCACCCTCATAATTTGACATTCTAAATACCTGAAACACAGTCAAATATTGGACAAAATGGAACTCAAATTGATAACATAACAAAAACATTACATCAGAAAACAGCAAATACAGATATGTTTTCTACCAAGTAAGCATCATCAGACTTACAACTTACAACCTAGCTTACTTATTCCTCATTATATCAGCATCATCTCATTAGACAAGAGGGAGAAGTGCAATAACTACAATTTCATTAGGTTCAGGAACTTCAGAAATAATGTTCAGAATAAACTGCTAAAAAT